ATTTCTTATTGATTCTGTTTCTGTGGAGAACCCTGACTACTAAACTGGGCTAAGTGCTTTATGAGCATTCACTCATTTATTCCTCGTTGCAACCTTATGAGGTAGATGTTAGTAGCATTTCCATTTTTTCAGATAAGAAACTGAAGGGCAGAGGCGAAGTAAGTCACCAGAAGGAACTCGGCCAAGATATGAATCCAAGTAACCTGGCTCAGGTCTGCCTGCTAACCATTGTCCCTACTGCCTCTAGGGCCATGAGCGCATTGCCATTTATTAAGCATTTATTGAGTAGAGACATATGCTAAGAGTTTTCATCATGTAAACAGGTATTCTCCAAAGCCTTCTTGCCTTCTGGGGTTACCCCTTCCTTTAATAATCAAATAAAATAGCTCAGACCTCTATTCCATGTGCTGTGAGAAGTTCAGAGCCTTCCCAGTGCACTATTTTTGAGGAGCCCCAGATGCTGTTATGTCCTCTTGTCACCTCTCACTCTGAATTCCTGCTTCTGAACCAGTTCTCAGTCCCCTCTACCTTCTGTGACTGTCTGCCATCTTCTCTTAGCAAAATACACCCACCATCCCCGGCACTGTGGCCACTACTCCTTCCTCATCTGTACCCCAAACCACCACAGACATGGAGCTATGGTGTGTGACCGACTTTACCGAGGCACAGAGTAACAGAGGAGTGACCACAGGACAGGACAAAAACAGCTCAACATGGAATAAATGGCAACCTCTCAGTTCTTCATGTCCTTTGGCCTCCTCTCCTCAGGCCCAGGCCTCCCACTGTGAAGCTCATGGGAGACCCTTCACCCCACCTCCTCCCAGCCACCCTGTTCTTGGGCTCCCCCACCCCAGGCCTCCTACCTTCAGGCTGCTGATGCCAAAGTGGACATTTCCAGTTCTTCTTTGTACCCTGAAAAGTTGCTCCCTTGCCTCTCACCTGGGGCGGAGTAGGTGAAGGTCACCTTCCATATGAAGGTGTTTTCCTCCTGCTGTGCCCCCACTATGGAAGCAGCTGCTGACAATTTTTTTCTTCCCGTAAATGTGCTCTAGATGGCTGGATCCTTCCGATAACATTGTGAGGTAAAAGCCTTTGTCTTCCCAGAGAGGAATTTAGCAGTGAGGTCCTCCTTCTGACTGGTTCTACCAGCTCTAAGACCTTGTCTAAGCCTCAAATTCCTCATCTGAGTCATTTCCCTTATCTGAGCCTCAAATTCCTCATCTGTTACCTGGATAATAAGAATTCCTGCCCCACAAAGTTGAACCCTTAGCATGCTGTAAACTCTCTGTAAATACTGGCTGTTGATTATTTGACAGATGAAAAAAATGAGTTTGTTGTGTTATTAGCTTGCCAAATGACCTGGTCCTCAGTTAGTCACTGGAAAAGGAGAAGGTGGGACCGAATGGTCTCTAAAGCCTATTCCAGGCCTATTGTTCTCATAATGGCACCGTGAGTCTTTACAATGTGAGCTCAGGACCTGAGTAGACACGGAGCCCCTGGAGGGTAGGAGCTGTCTCTCATTCCTGTCCCTCAGTGCCAGGCACAGGGCCTGGTACTTAGCGGGTTCTTAGAAGAAGAGGAAGGAAGGAAGAAGGGAAGGAAGGAAGGAAGGAAGGAAGGAAGGAAGGAAGGAAGGAAGGAAGGACGAAAGGAAGGAAGGAAGGAAAAAATGAATGACTGCCAGGCCGCATCCTGGAACAGGTGGAACACCTCTGCCCTGAAGGGTTTAGAATCTGTGTTGAGGTCCTTGGTGGGGAGCCTGGGGTCTCCTCAAGACTGGAGCTGGCTCGAAGTCCACCCCCTGCCTCTGCCCCTGGGATGCCTGTGCTTGAGTGGGAGGTGAGGGAAGCTGCAGGAGAGGAAGAGAGTCAACTTGGAAACTTGGAGGCCTCCACTTCCTGCTATGGAGACCCTCCCTGACCTGGCTCTGGCCTGGACTTCTGACCCCACCAGGACAGTGTCAGGAAACAGACAGGAAGGTGGGAAAACTTGCCTGGGTTGGTCTGGGCCCAAGCTTGGGTTAAGCCCTGAGCCTAGTGGGCCAGAGCCCACCTTCCTTGTCCGGCCTGGCAGAGCTCAGACGCTCTGCCCCAGGCCCTCTGCCCCAGCGGCTCAGGATCTTCTTTGTCCCTGAGACCACTGCTAGCATTTCAGTAGCTTGGCAGGGAGGGCAGCTGGGATCAGAAGACCTGGGTTCAATTCCTACCTCTGCCTCCCAGAGACTGGGTAAGCATGGGCCCTTTACTTTGCCTGCCTGAGCCTCAGTTTCTTCATCGTATTTCATGCTGCAGGTTGTTGTAGAGAAGGTCTCATATCACACTCAAGAAACTCAAAAACAAGGTAGCCTTACAGATACAGCTGAAGCCACCCAAAGCCCTCACCAGCCCTACTTCTTCCCTTCTTAGAAGGTGCCACCATCCTGTTCTCTCATGTTTATCCCATTCCTACACATTTCTATCCAGCCCATCATTGATTTGCATGTTTTCAAACGCTATGTGTATTATGGCATTATACTAAATGCATTATTCTCTAACTTGCTTTTTTACTCAATGAAATGCTTTTGAGATCTATCCATATCGATACACATAGCTCTAGTCCAATCATTTTCACTCTACATTATTATCTCATTCTACAAATATATTATAGTTCATTCACTTTCTTGTCAGTATACATTTAGGTTGTTTCCAATTATGTTTTGTTATTTCAAGCAGCACTGAAATAAATATTCTTGTACAGGTCAAAAAATGAACCAAGCAAAGATGAGTGTTTCCAAGGTGCTTACATGCATTGATCAGTGTTATTAAATATTCATTTTGATGACAATATTTTCTGAACTCAAATCAAGGCAAACAACTCAATGATGGGACAGACGATTTGAGGCTGGGACTTTCTAGAATGCTAGAGCAATAATTGTCACCCTTTGTTGGGCCAAGTCCTGTGCTAAGCGTTCTATCTATCTATTCACAAAAACCCTGTGAGGCAGCAACTGGTATTACCCCAGCTGAGCAAACCAAGGTGCAGAGAGGTCAGGAATCTTGGCCAAGGTCACACAACGATGGTTGAGCTTGAATTCAAACGAAACCTGAATCTGTCTGACTCCATTGCCCATATTTTAACTAGATCAGAGGGGTCCCAGTAACATCCCCCAGAGCAGAGGGAGCATAAAGGCAAGAGGAACTGATCCTAACTGTGGGTTCAGGGAGGCCTTCCTGAAGAAGGTGCCAGGTTCGATTGGTCTGGAGAGAAGGGGAACATTGCAGTGGACAGCAGTGGGAGGCAATTCGGAGAAGAGACACTTAGGGCCAAGGCACTGAGGCTGGAAGATTTAGCGCTGCACCCCTTCAGTCACTACCTCTTGACTCCTCCTTACCACACTCCTTCCTGGCATTTCTCTCTCTTTTCCCTGATTCTCCCCTGATCTGTCTGCTGTCCATCCTTCTTCCTAATTTTCTCGTCTTACCTTTTTTTCTTGGATCATCTTCTCTCTATTCCTCCAGTCCTCCATATAATCATCTATCTATTCATTTATTAATCTATCCATTCATTTATTCACCATTCATCTACCATGAACTGAACTTAAATGCTGTGCTAGGGCATTGGGCCTGGGTGATGCAATGCCTAGAATTGATGGTGAGCGCATCCATCACACTCAGCTAAATTTCCATGAGGAACTGCTGAGACCTGTCCTCCTCTTCAAATACACCCAGAGACAAACCAACCCTTACATAAACCAAGCAACCTTCTAGAAAAAAAAAGAAAAAGAAAAAAGAAAAGAAAAAAAACAACAGAAAAAATCCCTTGAGACAGTCATGGCTCTCGGACACCCCCTGCTGGTAATTTTAGAGATTACATCCTGGGGCAGAGGATCCCACTGTTATCTCCAGGAACGGGCTGTTCCGGTTCCCTCACTGCACTCCGCCTGAGCTGCAACTTTTGCCAGCAAATCCACTTAAGGGGCTCATAATGGTGGAGTTCTTGTCAGAAATGTTCAATGCCCTTGCCTTTGCCAGGTCAAGCCAAAGGCCAGAGTCAGAAGCCGTGAGAGACATTGTTATGGACGGAATGTTTGTGTCACCCCAAATTCATATGTCGAAATCCTAACCATCAATGCAATGATATTCGTGGGTGGGGCCTTTGAGAGCTAATGAGGTCACGAGGTTAGAGCATGTTTCCTTGCTCCCTGTCCTCTGCCATGTGAGGCTACAATGAGAAGATGACCATTTGCAAACCAGGACACTGGATCTGCCTGCACCTTGATCTTGGACTTCCCAGCCTCCAGAACCTTGAGAAATAAATGTCTGTTGTTTAAGCCACTGAATCTATGGTATTTTGTTACAGCATCCCAAGCAGACTAAGACAGAGATGTCTGTTTTATTGGGGAGGAGGTGTGTGCTCTGGTGTGTGTAGAGGTGCATGTACACGGGGGAGCCAAGGTGCAAATTCTGAGCATGTGTTCGCATACCCTGCCCCAGGCATGATAGAGCTGTGCACGTGAGTAACCCTGTCCCATGCTCACGAGGCATTCTCCAGGAATGTGTGTGAGACAACTCCGAGGAGTCAGCTGCCAGGGTTTTCTAGCGGGATTGGGCCCTAGTTGTCCACTCACGCACCCTGTCTTGGCTTCCTTTCCTTTGACATTTTACTTCCCTGGTTCCCAACACACGCTTCTCGGGATCACCTCCCAAATAGCTTACCTGTACTCGAATCCTTGCCTCCAGGCCTGCTCTTAGGATAATGAAGGAGGCAGCCCAAGAGGAGAGGCCAGCTGAGGCTGGCAGAGCACAGACGGCAAGAGCCTGGGTCTGTGGTGGTATCACTACACCTCTGAGTTAACCAGTAGACAACCGTCCCACCCCTACCTTCTGGTTGGGCGAGAAAACCTGAACCATTTACATCTCTTTAAATGGAGTTGTAGGCTTCTCGTGACTGAAAGCCTTCCAGGAATAGGCACTCACTCTCCAGAGGTGGATTCCGTGCGAAGGGCAGGTCGGTGGCTGGCTGAAGACGAGCCATGGTGGGTAGAGCACTTCTGAGTGAGTTGTGCGCGTGCACACAGTGGCTGTGTATGCACACCACATGCACTGAACGCTTGCTGTGTGCAAGCCCCTGTGTAATGGCTCTGTATCTGGGACAGAGAACTAGGTCATCTTGGCTCATTTGTGCATGTCCTGTGTGGTTCCTCTTATCAGTTCTAGACTTTGTCTTTCTTGAGCACCTCCCTTGTCCTGTCCTCATCCTGGTTACCTGGACAACCTCTGTAGCCTCTTGGCTAGTTTCCCAGGTGGTATTCTTGCCTCTCTTTAAACTATTTTCCACTTAGCAGTCAGAGATATAGTTTGAAAACATGTGTTGGATAGTGTCATTCTCTCTCTGTTGCTGAGGTGCTGCCATGCCAAGGTCTCCAGTCCTATCTCTTCCCTCTCTCCCACAGAAGCTCCAGCCTGAGGTTTATTCTTCACTGTATCCTGATTGGACAGGGGGGTAAGGGGACTGACTCTCGCAGGCTGGATTTTCAAGAAACCAGTGACAGCTGGTTTCTAGTTGGGTTCAGCCAATGAGAGACACTGATGGGAGATTGGAGGAAAGTAAGAAGAGAGAATCCAGGGTATTTTTCTCCCTATACTTCCTCCTCCATGGCTCCCACCTAGCAGACCCGGCCTGGGCCCAGCTTCTGCAGGGCGAGCCTAGCTTCTGGGCTCCAGCTAACAGCATCTTGTTCCTCCTTCCTGGAGGCAGCTGTGGCTAATCTCAGCTCTTACTTCACCCGGGCAATCCGGTCCCTCCATTTCAAATACTTGAGATTTCTGTTTTCTGGTTTGACCCCAACTGACCCCAGCAGCCATCTGACTTCCAGCCGAAGGAGGAAGCCAGCAGCTTGTGCAGAGTAGAGCCATGGAATGGCAGAGAACAGAACCCGAACCTTGGTGTACCATGCCTGTGCTTTCCCTGCCTCTGGACTTGAAGTCAAGTCCCCTGAGATGGTAAATTTCCTAATTGTTTACCTGAGACAGGGTTTCCTACTGCTTACATCCGAAAACATCTGTGGCATTTGGTGCTGGAGCCCCAATATCTGCTCTCCCTTCTCCAGTAGTAAGAGCAGTTTCTCTCCTGCCAGGGAGTTTCCGGGCTCCCCAGCAGCCAGAGGAGGCTCCAAGTTGATTTCTGACCATTCTCAGAAGAGGTCAGTGCAAATTCCAGGTTGGGTGCTTACAGATAAAACACATGCTTGCTCTTTCTCTTTCTGTCTGGAATGTGGGTGGGGTGTAGGAGCCATCGCGTGCTATATGAGTTTCCTAGGGCCACAAACGAGGTCGTGCCAGCAAGAGAAATACATTGTTTCACAGTTCCAGAGGCTAGAAGTCTGAAATCTAGGTTTCAGCAGGGATGGTTCCTTCTAATGGCTGAGGGAGACTGTTCCAGGCCTCTCTCTCTCTCCTTGGCTCACCCATGGCCACCTTCCCTCTATGTGTGTTTCTCTGTGTCCAAATTTCCCTTTTTTAGAAGGACACTGATCACATGGGATTAGGGTCCACCCTTAGTGACCTCATCTTGACTAATTACTTCTCCAGTGGCCCTATGTCCAAATAAGGTCACATTCTGAGGTGCTGGGGGTTAGGACTTCAGCATTGGAGTCCTATGGTGGGGAAACACGACTGAACCCATAACACTTGGCCTGAGGGTGAGAGAACACCCTAGGGCCGGACTTCCCAGAGCAAAGCTGCAATGCCAGCGTGGACTTTGAAGTTAGAGGGGAAGGGAATAAATTTCTACCTTATTTTATACATTGTTATTTGGGGTCTCTGTTAGATTCATCTGGAATGTGGGTGGGGTGTAGGAGCCATCGCGTGCTGTATGAGTTTCCTAGGGCCACAAACATGAGTCATCAGTCAAGGTCCGGGAGGGGAACAGATGTCAACCCCAAGGGGTAATTGGGGAATATTTAATAAAAGCGGAGATGGGTTTGGATAAACTAACAAGGAATAGCGAAGCATCCCATGGCTAGAAACAATAGGGAGCTCATACCACTCCGAGGCCTGAAGGGGCAGAGGGAGGAGGCAGTTAATAGAGCCAGGGCCTCTGGTGGAGGCATGCAGCCATTGCATCCTGAGGCCTGGCAGGAAGGGGCCTGGGGAATAGATACTATAATTGCTCTCCCTTCCTGTCCTCCAGTCTCCTGCTGGCACCTTCCATTGACTGAATCAAGCCAAGGACAAAGGACCCTACTGATGCTATCTATCAGGTCAGCCAGCGGTTAGGGTGGAGCTCGGTGGAGGCCTTTGGAGAGCAGATGGAGAGTATCCAGCAGACCCGGAATTCCTTCCCCCTGCTGGCTGTGAGCTCAGGAAGACTTTGTCGTCTGTCATCTCAGAAGGATCCCTGCTGACCAGGACAATGCCTGGAATCCAGTAGGTGTTGGACAAATATTTGTTGAATGTGTACTTGCCAGGAGGGCAGTGGAATGAGAGCAGAGGAAAGGGGGGCGGATCACACCTCCTTTGTCACCATTTCCCAGAGAGCCTGGCGGAAGTGGGGGATTCCCTCCCACCCCACTCCCGCTCAGGCCCGAGAAGGTAGAGCATTGGCTTTGGGAAGAAGGCTGTCCCTGCTCTCCACCCCTCCCCAGTGTCCTTGCTCAACAATCTCCTTGGGTCCTGGCTGAGGCAGTGGCTTTCTTGGGAGAACAGCCGGCTTCATGTGGTCCAAGCCCTGGGTCTCTTCAGTGACTTCTCAGTGCCATTACAGGACGGATGGGGCATTTGCTTGATCATGGGCCTCCTTACCCATCCTTGAGGCTGGGCTGTCCCATCCAAGGGGGTTGGGGCTGGTAGCGGGGAACTTCAGAGCAATTAGGTACCAGAGAGTCCTGGACTTAAGATCACCGTGTGTGATTCACAAGGAACATTGGCACCTGAGAAGTCCTGCAGGAAAGAACTTCACTTAATCTCGTATTTTCCAATCCCGTTTGACTTTTGATTCTTTATTGAATGCCAGTTGGTTTCTGTCCTGAGGGCTGAGGCCACAGCCATGAACAAAAGCAGATAAAAAATCTTGCCTTTTGGGGCTCCATTCGAGAGGGTCTATTCGTTATGAAACATCTATTAATATCCTTTCGAATGCTGCTCTTCAGACCTGCCACCCCAATGCTGCAGCTGAGCTTCTCCTGGACACACAGATGGGGCAGCTTCCAGGTGAGCCCTTTATGAACGTCAGGGTTAACTGTACTTTCAGGGTAAGAAGAGGCAAGAGTGTGAAGAGTCCTTTAGCTTCCTCCCTCCCTCCCTTCCTTCCTTCCTTCCTTCCTTCCTTCCTTCCTTCCTTCCTTCCTTCCTTCCTTCCTTCCTTCCTTGCCTCCTTTAATGTAATATGCATATTGTTGAGTACCTAAAATGTGCCAGGCCCCTTCTACGAACTGGGAATCTAAAGGTGAATAAGAGAAAGTTTTGTCCTCATGGAGCTTCCCATCATGTGAGAACTTGAAATAATGGAACCTCCAACCCCAAGAACAAAGCTCCCCAGCCACTCCACCCTCCCTCCCCTCCCCAGACCTGCCTTGTTACTCCCCATAGGCTCCTGTGCGCCCGGACTGCCACCTCCTTCTCAGGATGTGGCTTGATTTATGCTTGAGGACTCCAGAGTCCCTGACCAGCTCCCTCTTCCCAGGGGTTAGGAGGAGGTTCATCTTTAGGGATTTTGCTTCATCTGCTCCTAGGCCAGAAAACCCCCAGGGGGTTAATCAGCAGTACAGCTGACAGTGTGTCCATAAGGCCTGAAGGTGAGATGACCTGACAGTGTGATGGGACAGTCACCCTGGAGGGTAGAGGGCTATGGTGGCTGAAAATCTGTCTGCAGAGCCCCCAGAGAGGCTGGGACCTGCTGAAGGCCACCTGGAGACAGGCTGAGGCAGCTTACTGTGCGAAGTTGGGGGACATGGGTGGATTACGCACTGCCAGGTCAGGCGGTGACAAACCAAGGGGCCTGGAGCCCGTCCTCGCTATTCTCCGGGTCTTCATTTCCCCAACTGTCAGACAGTAGAGATGGGTTAGACAATTAGATCATCGTAGGCTCTCTCTGTTTCAGACTTCCCGTGGAATCTCAGTGTCTGAGTTACCCCTCCCATTGCCCCACCCACCTCTTCACCCCTCTCTTTTTACTCCTCAGCTCAGAGTCTGAGAAATGACATTGAGCTTTAAAGCTGAGCAAATAAACAAGTCCAGGCCCGTTACAGAACAGGTGATAAGGGAGGGCACGGCTATTTTTATCAGAGTTTGAAGGATTTTCACAGCTGCTTCTTCTGTTGTGTCCATATACTTTCCTCCCGCCTAGGTTATTGGAGTGCCAATCCATCCTTTGAGGGTATGATGGGGAGGGGTTGCACTACCGAATCCTAGGTCCATCATGCTTTTGCTTGCCTTTTTATACAGTTTTATCCACCCATTTGTATTCCTTAAAAAGTATATTTAAAGTTTTTAGTTGTTTTTAACTCCATAAAAACGGTGTTAAACTACCGGAAGAGAACCCGTCCAGCTAGTGCCTGACATCCCGCCATTAGGGATCCATCTAAAGCAGCTAAGCATTGACCTCCTCTTGTGCTTCCAGAACATAGGATCCCCAAAGGAGGGTTCTATGCTGAGTCAGTAACACTAGCAGGAAGGAGTCTGCCCATTCTTAGAGCACTACGTGTTGAGGAGTGACAAGGATTACTCAGGAGAGTCTGCAGAGCCAGTTAGCCTTATTTAGCAGATATTTGTTGAACACCTGTAGCGTGCCGGCCCTGGCCTGGGAGTCTATTTCCAACAGTCAACAAGGATGTGCTAAGTCTTTTCTACGAATTAATGTGAACTAAGTTCACTGACTTTGGGCCAGGCATCGCTTCACACTTCACAGAGGTGATCTCAGGTATGGCTCTGTGTCCAAAATACACTCTGTATCCCACCCCTATCTGTCCATTTCCATCTCTACTGCCCAAGGCCAAGCCCTATTCCACCCCTTACTCTTGCTTCGTCCCATTCCCGAAATAGCTCCAACTGGTCCCCCTCTCTCTCACCCACAACCCTTCACACAGCACCCAGGAAGAGATTTTTTTCAAGTCTAAATTAGATTCCAGGTCCTTCCTGGACTTAATCACCTCCCTCTTCCCCCTTCCCCATGGCTTCCTCCTTATGCTTAGGCTACAGATCCAGCTCCTTTTTACCTGATCTGCTAAGAAACCCTAAAGGATATGCCCTTTGCCCACCTCTTTCTCTCTTTTTATTCTCCCTCTCTCTCTTTCAGGTAATAGAATATGATAAATCATAAGCCTCAGCCCATGATGCTCTCTCATCATTGTTTTAGGTATCATTAGTTCACTCATGGGCCACTTTTATTACGTTAGATGTATAGTTATTTTAAATAATGTATTTAGCACCTTCAAAAACACATCTAACAATGGCACAGATGGATCTCGAAAGCATTATGCTAAGTAAAAGACACACAGAAACAAAAGATACATACTGTATCTTCCATTCACAGTAAAGATTCTAGAAAAGGCAAGACTGTAGTGACAGAAAGCGGATCATTGGTTGCCAGGGGCCAGGTATGGGAGTGGAACAGAGTGAGACTAGGCAGGAGGGAAGTTTGGAGTAATGAAAATGTTCTGTATCACAATTATGCTGGTGGTTACATGACTGTATATGTTTGTCAAAACATTAATTTTACAGTTAAAACTGGTGAATTTTATTGTATGTAAATTAACCTTCACTAAAGCTAAAACAAAACAAAAACTACTAAATAAAGTTAGACGTCCTAGCAACATCTAATCTATCCTCCTTGTTCTTACCACAGGCCTGAGCCAGCCAGCATCCAGAAGCCTATGCCCATCATGTCTTTCCTTGCCTTTTTATACAGTTTTATCCACTTATTGGTATTCCTTAAAAAGTATATTTAAAGTTTTTCAAGTCTATAAAAAGGGTATTAAACTGCATTTAATCTCCCGGGATCTTTCTTTTGTTTTTCTTTCCTAGGAGTTGCCTACATTGCAACACGTCACTGTGATTTACTCTTTTTCACTGCCGATCAATACTCCATTCTGTGACTACCCTGCACACATTCATCCATTTTCCTTGAGGGACATCTGAGTCGTTTCTAGGTTTTTGCAGTTGAGGACTGAGGATAGGGCTGCCGGGAACATTCTCGCGCATGCCTCCTGGGGCGCATGTGCAAGATTTTCTCAAGGGTCGGTACTAGGAGTGGAACCGCTGGATCACAGGTGAATTCCGCTTTCGGAGTTGCCTCTTCTTTGACCTCACCCTCCACCAATCTCCATCTTGACTTCTAAGCTCCAGCCACACTGACTGCCCTTTCTCTGAGGAAGCCAAGCCCATTCCAGCCCCCAGGTATTTGCATTTGTTGTCCTCTCCACCTGGCCGTGCTATTCCTTCAGGGCTTCCTACAGCTGGCTTTTACTTGTCCTCTAGGATGCACTCAAACTGTACCTCTTCAGTCCAAATGTCACTCTCCCTGGTCCCCCATCTAAGTGAGTTACTCCCATTCCCACGCCAGTTACTCATGTGTCATTTTCTTTACAGCACCTACCACCACAATCAGAAAGAGACTTCACTTAATTTTTGTTGATTTTTCATTGTCTCCTCTATTAGACTTAAACTCCAAGAGATCTGGAACCATGTGTTGTTCATGGCTGCACCCCCTAAAACAGTGTGATATGGAGAAAGTACTTGATAAAATTTTTTTTATCGAGGTGGATACTAATCCCATGTTAGAGATGAGAAATCCGAGGCTCAGAGAAGATAAGCCATGTGCCCAAGTTTGCAGAGCTTGGAGGTGGCAGGATCTGAACGCAGGTCTGATTAGTTCTAGAGCCCACTTTCTTTCCTGGAAGACGCTGGCTTGTTCTGATGTGCAATTTCCTTCCTCATCCCCTGTTATCAGCTGGCCATTCAATGCCACCTGTGTAACGACATGTTGGAGGGAACTCTGGGTCCTGCTGTTGGCTGTCATTTCCATCTGCAGTGGGTAAGGACTGTGGCCTTGTACCATGGGAGATCTGGCCTTCCACCATCTGTTCCGGAAATGGGGCCCAGTCCAGCCCCCTACCACCTGCCTTCTACCCTATATTAGAGTCTCAAGCTCTGCATCTTTCCTATCACCCCAAAATTTATGATGCTCCGGCTGCTGAGTTCCCTGCTATTTGTGGCTCTTGGTAAGACCCCAGCCTGTTTTGTGCTTCACTGGGCTGGGAGCTCTTGAAATCTGCCACCTGCCCTGGGTCTCCTGAACCCAACACATTATTCCACAGGAGGGGCCCTCAGCTTGTACCTGATTGTCAGGGCATGATCGTCAGGGCTTTTGGCTTGGTGCTGGAGCAGGAGAATGGAGGGGGAGCTATGGATGGATGAGCTTAGAAGAAAAATTGGGGAACCCAAAGGGCTATGGTGGAAATCCTTGATGGGGCAGTGAATAAAATTTAATGGCAAAGAGTTGGGCTCTGTGGTTAGACTGCTTTGGTGGAATTTCTGCTCCTCTGCTTAACTCTTTAACTCTCGTCTCCCACTCCCCCTACCTCGTTCCATATTCTGTGGTCTAGCCTTTTCCTTGTTTCTCTGCTGTATTACATTCTAGCTCAGGGACACCTCCTCCAAGCATCCTTCCTTGACTGACAGTAATGGTTTTATTGAGTGCTTACTATATGCCAGGTGGAATGCTAAAGATCTTTTCTTCTATTATCTCATATAATCCTCACAACAGCCGCATGAAGTAAGTGCTGTTATTAACCCCATAACTGATCCTTAGAGAAGTAAAGTAGCCCATCTTAAAATGAGAGGCAGAGCTGTACTTTGAACCCAGACAGTGTAACTCCAAAGCTGCCTTTCTTCGTGATGATAGCTATCACTTCTTGAAGACTCTTGGCCTCCAGGCACTGGTCTCAGTGCACCAGTGCCTTTAATCCTACTGTGGAAGGAGGCCTTATGTTCCTCTCCATCCTGGACTCCTGGGACTCAGGAAACCTTTGCTCTATTCCGAATACTCACTGTGCACACGTGGCTACAGAAATCCAGAGAGGGGAGGGGGCTTGCATGGGGTCACATAGCCAGTTTGTAGCACAGCTAGAACTGGGACCCAGGCCTCTTCTTCAATTTTGGGGAACCCTCTGGCTGATGGACACCTCTACTCTCCCCTCCAGCCTTGGGCTGTGGCCGACCTTCCTACAACCCCTCCACCCGTGTAGTCAATGGTGAAGATGCAGTCCCCTACAGCTGGCCCTGGCAGGTAAGAGCAATACTGGTGGCATCGTTTCCTACCATGGGCTCTGCACCCCATGCTCTGACTGCAAGGCATCCAGTCTTGAGCCCATTGCTGTGCTTCCAGTATCCACTGTAACTTCCAAAGGCCAGGAAACCCTTGGACGATCTACTTTGTGTGGAAGTTTTGCCCATTAAATCTGGGATATTTGCAAGTTAAAAGTGGAATCTGGGGAGATGGCAATGTTTAATCCAAGTGTTGGTGCACTAAGTGGAATTTCAGGCTCCATGTTTAGCAAGGGGGATTTTGGGGACTCATTTCTAGACTTCTCAAATTATGTAAAACAGCTATAAGATAAATAAATGGATGAAGAGCTTTATAGAGGTCAGTGGAGGGAGGCATAGAGGGCTAGACCAGTGGCTACCATATTGGACAGCCAAATTACAGAACATTTCCATCATCACAGAAAATTCTATTGGATGGTACTCGTCTACAGCAGGGGCCAGTTAATTTGTTCTATAAAGCAGCGGTTCCCAACCTTTTTTGGCACCGGGGACGAGTGCTCCTATGAGAATCTAATGCCTGATGATCTGAGGTGGAGCTGAGGTAGTGATGCTAGTGCTGGGGAGCAGCTACAAATACAGATGAAGCTTCACTTGCTGGCCCACCACTCACCTCCTGCTGTGCGGCCTAGTTTCAAACAGACCGTGGACCGGTACCAGTCCACGGCCCAGGAGTGGGGGACCCCTGCTATAAAGGACCAGAGAGTGAATATTTTAGACTTTGTTGGTCATACAGTTTTATTGCAATGATTTAACTCAGTCTGCCATTGTAGCATGAAAGCAGTCATAGATTATACATACATGAATATTATACATAGATTATACATAAATGAATGAGTATGACTATTTTCCAATAATCTTATGTACAACAGACCATTGGCCAGAGTTGGCCCACAGGTTATAGTTTGCCAAGCTCTGGTTTAAAGGGAGTGTTTGAAAATCAGAATATAGGAAATGAGAAGAGAGGCAAAGGATTTGGGGAGGATTGTGCCTCAGAGGGCCCAAGGGGCCGTGAAAGAACTGAGGTTCAGAAGAAATTGGGCCTAATAAAACAGAGGGCTGTAGGGCTTTAGAGAGACAGAAGGTCTGGAGATATCCTGGAGGACAGAGAATGTTGAGGTCATAGGGCTAAAGGTTGGAGGGCTTTGGAGAGTCAGAATGTGATTCTAGTGGAAAAGTGACAGGGCCACCATGGCAGTTGTATAGGTTGCGCACTGCACATTTCCAGAGGGCATCATCCTTTACGCACGAATGATGCCCTTTGGGGTTGTGCGGTGCCCAACCTACACAGCCATGGGTAGCAACCCTCATCCTGGGCTCCACACTACTCAGACTTCTCCCTACTTGGCCGCCAGATTTCCCTTCAGTATAAGAAGAATGGAAACTTCCACCACACCTGTGGTGGCAGCCTCATTGCCTCCAGCTGGGTCATGACCGCAGGCCACTGCATCTCGTGAGTTCTCTCACTTGCCCCTGTCCCTGCATGAGACCCAGGCAGACCAGAGTGCTGGGTGACTGTGGGAGGGAGGGAAGGAGGCCAATCAGGCCTGGACTGACCTTACCTCCACTGGCAGGAGCTCCCTGACCTACCAGGTAGTGTTGGGAGAGTATGACCGGGCTGAGGACGAGGGCTCTGAGCAGGTGATCCCTATCAATGCTGAGGACCTCTTCGTGCACCCGCTCTGGGACTCCAGCTGTGTGGCCTGTGGGTAAGTGAACTCTCAGGCTTGGGACCTAGGAACTCCTGTAGTCATCCCTCTGTGACCCAAAGCTGATTCTGAGGAGACTTTCAGGGGGAGTAGGGCTGGGTCCAATTGCCTGTGTGTAGGTCCCACACACTGAGGGGGCGCAGCCAGCAGAGCTTTTAAGGAATATCTACACAAAACCTGTCTGTGGAGGGGACAGCAGGGCCTAAGGAGGGGCAGGGACTCCCCAGAGGCCATTTGGCTAGCTGGCCTCAGAACCCAGGACTCCTCTGGCACACCCCCTTTCTCAAATCCAAGGGTTCCTCCATTCAACAGACATTCACCCAGTGCATTCCAGGTTCCTGGGACCGTGGGAAAAGGAGGAGCAGGGGACTGAGAGTCAGGCTCCAGTTCTAAGTTTCTGTGGGGCCTGGGCAAGTCACTGCCCTTCTCTAGGCCTCAGTTTTACCACTTGTCAAGGGTGAACTTCCAGGCTTCTTGGGTGGTTGTGAAGGTCAAAGAGATAATCCCTGGGTGAGGACACAAAGTGGGGCCTCTTAAGCCCCTGAAGCATATGCAAAATTGTGTGTCTGGGTGGCTTAGCTCTTTTCTGGTGAGAGGGTCAAAGAAGAGTATAGAACCCCTGAAGGTGCAGTGCGGGAGTGAGGGGCCGTGAGGATCAAGACCTTGACCTGTCCTCATGGGGCTCCTTGGGTAACTGGAGAGAAAACTTGGACCCAGGTGAGATGATTGAGTGACAAGCAGATGGATGAAGACTGAGAGCAGGGGTTATCGAAGTGTGGTCCCCAGGCTAGCAGCATCAGCATCCCCTGGGAACTTGTTAGAAATTTGAATACAAGACCCCCTGCATCAGACACCTGGGAAGGGGGCAGTGCTTGGCAACCTGTGTTTTAATAAGCCTTCCTGGTGATTCTGATGCAGCTGGGGTGTTAGAACCACTGGTGTAAAAGCAGAGGACAATTGTGAAGGCCAAGGGTCAGTTCAGCGTGCACTGAGGGGACTGGCAGGGCTTCCTAAGGTTGTTTAGCCTTAAGAATGCATGGGATTCGGAGGGGAAAGGAGCAGCGGGGGCAGCCCAACAGTGAAATACCGCCTTAAGAATGCATGGGATTCGGAGGGGAAAGGAGGGGAAAGGAGCAGCGGGGGCAGCCCGACAGTGAAATACTTGGAGCAAAGACGGGAGATGGGACTTGGTCTGGCAGCAGGACCAGGCTTCCTATGACTCTTCTCTCTTCCCCAGCAACGACATTGCCCTCATCAAGCTCTCTCGCCCTGCTCAGCTGGGAGACACAGTCCAGCTTGCCTGCCTCCCTGCTGCCGGCGACATCCTGCCAAATGAGGCGCCCTGCTACATCAGCGGCTGGGGCCGTCTCTATAGTATGTGCTGATCCGTCCAGCTGGCCACAGGGGCAGTGGGCAGGAAGACAGGGCCTGGAGACTAAGATTGAGGGCAATACCAGGACCAGTCCTTGCATTTTTTTCACATTGCTCCTCCAAAAGCAGCCTTCTCCCCGCCAACCCTCCCAAACATGAATGTGCTCAATTGAACATTTTTTATTGTCTCCTATGTCCCAGGTGCAGACCTCTAAAGCAGGCAGGACAATATAACCTGGTGGGAGGAGAGACCCCATCTTCTCCATCAGAAGGGCTGCTTGCCTCAGAACCCCCACCCCACTCTGGGCCTCCCAGCCCTGACTCCTAGACCCCAGCCCAAGCCCTGTACCCCATGACCGCTCTACTCAGCGCTCTCTATCCCCACAGCTGGTGGGCCACTCCCGGACAAGCTGCAGCAGGCCCTGCTGCCCGTGGTGGACTATAAGCACTGCTCCAGGTGGGACTGGTGGGGCATCTCTTTGAAGAAGACCATGGTGTGCGCCGGTGGGGACACCCGCTCTGGGTGCAATGTGAGTCAGCTCTCCTCTGCCTGAGGTGGTGCTGGGCTATAGCCATTCAGCTGGGCAGGCAGGGTCCTAGGGTACCACTGCCATCTGCTTAAAGGCAGAGGGGAAATAGTGTCCTGCCTGCCCCATTCAGCCTCCAGGCCAGACAGGACTGGGAGGGAGTGAGCCTAATCCAGACACACAGCCCTGGCCTGAGAGTCACAACCTCTAGATTCCAGTCCCAGCTCATACACTGACTTGACCTGGGCAAATCACTGTCTCTCCCTGGTCCTCAAGCTTCCCCATCAGCATAGCAAAGGATATTGACCTTACGGCTTCCAAGGCCACCTTCAACTCTGTTGTCTTGAAGTTATAATTATACCAAACTCTCATTGTATTAAAAGTGAGTATGAACAATAATCTTAATAGTTAACTGTGGTACTAATAATGGGAACTACCACTTATTGATTGCTTCCTTTCTATTAGGCATTATGTTAAGATCATATATTTATCATCTCATTTAATTCTCACAAGATCCCATAAGACAGATATTATTCCCCATCACAAATGAACAAACTGAGGCTCATAGAGGTCAAGTAATACAGATTTCTCGAAATCCCCAAAGTCAGGACCAATTCCATAAAGCTCAGACATGGCTCAGCCCCCCACCACTCTCTGACCATTCCAGGGTGACTCTGGAGGACCCCTCAACTGCCCCGCTGCAGATGGCTCCTGGCAGGTCCATGGTGTGACCAGCTTTGTTTCTGCCTTTGGCTGCAACACCCGCAAGAAGCCCACTGTGTTCACGCGTGTCTCGGCCTTTAATGACTGGATCGAGGAGGTGAGCAAGGAGGCGAGCCAGGAGGGGTGGTGGGGGGCTGAGTAAGAACAGCGGATCTTGAGGAGGGGCTCGAAGAGTCCTAGAAGGTCAGTAGTGGAGAGGCCCCTGGGGACATTCCAGAGGGTTTGGGGATGTTTTCTGCTACAACATGGGCCTAAGAACTTCGATGGCTTCTGGGTGGAGCTTTGAATTGCTTTTGAACTTTCTTATTTCAACAAGTGTTTATGAAGTGTCTCCTCTGGTCCTGGTCTTTTCTTGTCATAGAGGACAGAGCGATGTGTCAAAGGGCTGCTGCCTCATGAGGGACAGATGATTAATGAGTGATAAATGTGAGAGCTGCGATAGGGAAGGCTCAGGCCTCAATGAGAATGCAAATCTCATCTGGGAGGGTTAATAAATGTTCCTAACAGCGATAGCCACCATTTATAGACTACTTAAATATGTGCCTGGTGCCGTGATGAACCCCTGAGTTAATAATTTAATTAAACCTCCCAATGAGGTGACTACTATGATTATCCCTATCATACAGATGAGCAAACTGAGGTTCAGAGAGATCAAATCACTCTCCCAGGTCACACAGCTAATGAGTGGCATGGCTCAGAGTTGAACCCAGTTCCACCTGGCTTCAGAAATTGTGCTCCTAACTAGACTATTCTGGGTTTTCCCCCCACTTCTTTTCCAGACCATAGCAAGCCACTAGAACCAAGGCCTGGCTGGCAGTACTGATCCACACTCTTTGCCAAAAAAATAAAGGTCTCTTAGAAAATCCCAACTTGAGTCTTGCCTCCTTCTTCGACTCACCTCTCTCCCTCCTCTCTCCCAGATCCAACACTCTCATATGAAGATGAGAAAAAAATGAGGCAGAGAGAGAAGGTTGCTGCTATAGGTGACCAAACATCCCAGTTTGCTTGGGAATGAGGGTGTTCCCAGGACATGAGACTTTCAGTGCTAAAACTGGAGAGCCATGGGAAGTTGATCACCCTATATAGCCACACACAATCATTGGCTTTACAACGCAGGCACAAAAACATGGTAGAATCTGCAGAAAACCTGGCTTTGCCAGTTCCTTGGGAAGTTCATAGTGGAGAGGGAAGGGCCATGTGCTTTCTGCTTCCATTGATGGGCTAGAGAAGGAGAATCGTGGTCATTCATTCATTCATTCATTCAACAAACATTCATTCCTTGTTCCAGAGGAGGGCTCAGAGGGGAAAGATGAAGTGGTTCCTGCCCTGAAATGGCTCATTATTTAGATAGAAATGAGCATAACAGAATCATCTATTAAAGGTTTACTAGTACCTTCTTTGTGGCAAGTTCAGGGCTGGGAGTACAAAGGTGAGTAGGACAACCTGGGGAGAGCCCTTGCATGGGGAGGAGGGAGCAGGCACACACAGAGATGCGCACACCATGCTGAAAACGAGGTGGGAGCCCAGGGAGCTGTTGTTGAGGCCTAAGACTGCTGCCATGCAGCCAAAAGCAACATAAAAACAACTGAAATTCTTTTACTCATGTTTCTCCTGAATACCGTGAAAGGAAATATGGTCCCAGTGAGGATACACATATATAATTTTTAATATTAATGTTCCATTGTTCTCTCCCTTTAAAAATTATACTTCTAGTTTTGAAAAGTTTAAAAGATAAGACATGGCGAATAATATAAGATATACCAATGTAGCCTCCCTCTAGAGTTAAAAAATTTCATATTTTTGCTTCGTATTTTCTAAAATAATTGCTACAGTTAAGGTGGATGCTCCTTTTTACTTTTCCCAGAGATCACCATCATCATGGGTGTGGGATTATCTACCCTATTACTGCTTTTCCCTTGAGGCCCATGGTAGGATAGTTCTTGCCTGCCCCCTCCAAGTTGGGTTTGGCCATGTGGCTTGCTCTGACCAAGGTGAAGATTTGAGAGACAGGGTGATTCTTTCCCTTTGCTCTGGCAACTGGTAGCTACAGGTCAGCTTGGTCCCAGACTGAAGAGGCATGGAATGGAGCCTCTGCCAACTCTTGATGGACATTAAAACAAGAAATAAACTCTTGTTATAAGCAACTGCGATTTTGGGTGTTCATTACAGAAGCATGGCTGTAATCTATCCTGACAAAATGAGCTTGGTGTTTATCATTCTGCTCCATGCTGTTATATTTTTATCACATATATAAATATCCAAATAACATATTGCATTGTTTTGGTTTTTAAAAATACATGCATGTCTTTATGCTGTATGGATGATTTTGCAACTTGCTTCTTTCATTCAACATTATGTTTTTGGGATATATCCCGGCCGATGTATATTTCTCTACTTCAGTGCTGCTAGTTTTGTAGACTAGTTAGTTATCCTTTTCCCTCTACTGATGGACATTTACAGTAGGGCCAATTTTTGTGATTACAAATAGTGCTTCAGTGAACATCCTGGGACATACCTCCAGGTGCACATGTGTGAGAAATTCTCTAGGATATATTCCTAAAATGGGAGGATGTGCTCATTTTTTAACTTTCCCAATCGCCAAATTGCTCTCCAAAGTGATTATATCGACAATACTTCTCAAAAAAGTGCGCCCCCTCCCCTTTTTCCCATCTACTGTCTCCATTCATTACAACTGCCCCACAATTTTCTCCTAAAACCACTCCTGGAATCTCAAGTCTCCCCCACAAAACTCTCCTACAGCCCTTACCGCCACTCTGGTTCCTACGAAAGCCCAAAAGCTGGTATGGCAAGGCCTGAGTGAGGGCAAGGAAGGAATTTTGTCAAGCAAAGCAGACACCTTTGCGTCATGGGAATGTGGGAGAGAATGGGAAAAATTCTGGAACCAGCATATGTTAATCATTTGTACTGAGACAAACAGTGCCTGGTGACATATGTAACTGACAGGTGTTCCCAAAGCACTGCGGGGTTGCAAAAGCTGAGTATCTACTTCTTCCTAATGGGTCAGGGAAGGGCCCTGAGACAATTTTCCAAAATAATTTATGATAAAGGGCAATCAAGTATGTAAAACTCCACCCTGTGGCTGGGCGGTGGACCCTCAAGGGGCCTCCATCCAGCCTCAGGAGGAGGCTGAGAACTGCTATAACACCCCTCTCGTTCATGGGCAGTAGAGAGGAAATCTTACCTAGAAATGCCAACAATTTTATCAGTAATTCAATTTCCTTTAGTTTAATCTCCAAGTCACAACAATATCAAATTCTTCAAAAACCATATAGTAAATAATTTAATTTTGAATAATGATTAGTGTCAACGCTAACAATTTATTGTTTTTGTTTTCTAAATCATGAAGAACAACCCACTTTTTGAAAAAGCGCAATATCGATACTTCAATTCCCTTTTAAAAATGAGAAAGGATCAGTATTACAATGCTCTCTTTTAAAGAATATAATGTTAACCATATTTAGTTCTCATTTTAAAATCACTAAGGTGTCAAGAATTCATTTTTTAAACTTAAAAGCGTCAACAATTCCATCCTCTTTTCTTTTTTCAGCACATTAATATGGGCTACATTTTAGAAGTTTCTATTTTGGGAAAGTTTTTAAAATCGCACACATTCTTGTCTCCCTTACACAGCTGCTACTATCACTTTGATATGCTTCCTTCTGCTTTTTTTTTTGCATTTGAAAAACCTGTCAACAGATTCAGTGGACATGAATTGAGCACCTACTGGTATTCTATGCTAGGCATGGGCAGCAGAAAATAACCCAAACTTGGGCCAGGTCTTCAATGAGGCCACAGTTTGGCTGGGGAGTTGACAAGTACACCCAAGCAGGTATGAAGGCTTGACTCAGTATTCTAATGGAGGCCAAGAGTGATGTGGGGCCCCAGGAGCTGGGATTACATTAAAATGGGAAGATTGGAGCTCTCGATGGCTCTCACATCAAGGGATTCCTGTCAAAGGTGAATCTGTCAATTCTTCTCTTGTCAATTAACACCGAAGACAGCGTAGTGCTGAGAAACTTCGCTGTTTGAAATCCTATCAATGAGAATGAAACATCTCCCTCTCGTCTAGGGGGCTGGAGACAGATTTGACACAGAGAAGCAGCGTGGATTACCAACCCAGGTGCAGAGCCTCAGATAAGGGGTTTTTGGACACAACAGTTTATATTTATCTTAACTCCGTGGTGTCCAAGGAAACAGGACTATGAGTCTACTTCTCAGCCCAAGCCAGATGTTAACCCTTTCCACACAGCCAGATTTGCTTTGAGCCTATCAACACTGCTTCATTTCAATTTCACCTAAATTCCACTCTCCTCTCAAATCCTATGATAAGCCTATTTCTTCCTTTATTTAGTGAGACGCACCATGGTCCCTGTGGGGGTGCTTGCTGCATCAAGTTAATAAACCTAACTCTGCTAAAACTACACCTATGTCCCTGGTGGTCTATATCAGATTGGCTTTATCATAAAATTCAAGTTTTCTCTCTTCATTCATTTACTCACTTAGTCATTCAACAAATGTTTGCCCAGGCTATGCTTAGTTTTAGCTGCTGGAGACAGGACAATTGGAAGTCTTTAATATAGTCCAACCATCTCATTTTACAGATGGGGAAACCAAGGCTGAGAAGAAGTGAAAGGTGGAAACTTCATTATATGAGTGAATGGGGAAAGGACCCACAGTTGCTAGGAGAGATAGGGGTGGGGCCTGGTAGCAAAAAGCCTTGGTTCTCCAACCACTGGAGTAACTGGCTATCTAGGAGTTCACTGACCACCAGTGGTAGTGTAGACAAAAGGCACATCTTCTCTTCCCTAGACACATGGACTCTTGGGGGTGGTAACCCAGCAAGGTGCTTTGGGGGTGCCCCTCTTAATTCCCTTGCCTGTCCCATTTGGATAGGCCAATAAAAAGAGAGATGAGCCACCTGAGTGCCTCTTCCTAACAGCCAGGTCCCTTCTCCTTCAGGGTTAAGAGCCAAGTGGAAGGGCTGCCTTGGTTAGCATCTTTGCACTTTCTCTTACAGGGTGTGCTATCTAAGATAACCGGTGTGCCCAGACTCAAACCCAGACTCAGTATGAATTAAAACTTCGGTTCTTAACCATCAGCAATTGGAAAGTCTTGGGAGAACAGGCACATGGGGCTCAGATTGAGCCCCCTATCTGTATAGGGTCTCTCCCTGGACAGACTGTAAAAACCCCATGCCCAGTCTGTCTGGGTAGACTGAGACAGGGGTACTTAACAGACTGTGCCCAATGCATTATGTGGAGTGATTCCATGAGAACTACTGTTTCCAAACGGCAGCCACCCAGCCCTTTTTTTTCCCCTCTGGGTGGTGCAAAAACTCAAGGGTGTAACTTCTGGGTGCGGCGCTGACTCGGTTGCCGGCAGGCTCCTAAATGTCTCAATTCCCGCTTCATCCTCTTTCCATTTTGCAGTTAGGTAAACTGCGGCTCAGAAAAACAAAGAACTTATCCGAAGCATAAAAGCTGCCTAGGATGTACACAAGGCTCCGCAAGGAAGGAAGGACTAAGGATTGAGGAAGCCAAACATACCACCACGGGTTAAAACCATGAAGCTGTGCAGCGCCGCCGAGGCCTAGAGCGACCCGCTCCCCTTCCATCGGCCCTAGTCTCCTACCACTTCCAACTTCCGGGGAGGCTATAACTTCCGGTTCCGGCGGTGGGCCACAAAGCTCTGTACCGAGGAGGTGGTTTCTCTTTCCTGGAGTCGGTTGTGGGGCTTGTGGTCCCCCTTTCCCCGCCCTTCGAAGTGACACCTGCGCAGGTGAACGGCCCCCTCTCCTGCCTTCCGTTTCCCTTCTCCGCGCGTGGTATGTTGGGAGCGGGCGCCACAGCGTCGGCCGGCCTTAGGAGGGTCTGCCCTTGCGATCTGCGGGCTGCTTACCCTGGCGTGGCCTTGGGCCTCACTTCAACTCAGGAAGAGGACGTCCCGGTTCTGGATCCCCAGAAGCGCATTTTCCAGCCCGACCTAGGCCCTCTGAGCCGCGCCCATATTGGTGGGAGGAGTCGGGCTCAGTTCCCCATCTAGACGCCAGCTGTGTTCCCACCACCTCTTAGCCTTGTGACTTCAGGCAAGTCCCTCTCTCCGAGCCTCAGTTTGCTTATCTGAATGGAAATCACAGTAACAGTCCTACTGGGTTATCAGGAGGATTGGATGAGAAAGAGCTGCGGAGTGTCTGGCCTGTAAAATTCAATAGTAGCAGCTGTTGCTGTTGTTAATAGAGACAACTGGGGCAGTAGAGAGTCGTATCTGGATTTTAACCTGAGTGGCTAAGAGGAGCATGTCGAAGAGAATGTAAAATGCTCAGCATAGTGTCAGGAAGTAAGGGCTCAGAAAACTGGGGTTAGTTACTGGTGAGGTTAAGCATTGTGTCTGGCAGGTTGTCTAAAACTGATAGGATTTATAGCTGGGTCCATCTTTCAGAGCCAACCTTGAGAACTGGCCTGCTGACAAGTCAGACTTTTCCTAGAAGCTGGGGTTGTAAAGTCCTCGATGCTGGAAACTAGAATTACTGAAAGGGTGTTTTCCCACGTGGGTTAGGGGTTTTTCACTCAGAAAGGTTTTGGGCAAGAAGAGAAAGCCTGAAAAATATTCTCCCGTTTGAGTTGTATGAGAGTAGTTAAGAAGTGTGGTTAAGAAGGAAAGAATACAGAAAATATTAAATGAAAAATGTTTCCCTCTTGGTTCCTGCCCCTCAGAAGTAAATACAATTTATTTGCTAACCATCAGGTATTTGTGGGTAAATCAGGTAATAGAAGCTTATCTGTGGGTACTTTTAATTTCCATAGATGAGATCATACTACACATGTTGATCTATACCTTTGTCATGGGGTGATGAGTTATGGATACCTTCACATCAACACTCATAGGCCTACTTCATTCTTTACAAGGCTGCACAACATCTCATTGAATGGCTATTTAATCATTTCCCTGTTGACAGTCTCTTTGATTTTTCCCAGATTTTTCTTTCCCACAATGTTTCATCTAACCTCTCCTTGACTAAATATTTCCTTTTTATCCAAAGCACCCCTGAGTTACGGTACTATTTTGTTTTTGCTCTCATCACTCTAGTTAGTAACAGCTTTTGAGGATGAGCAAAACCCCAGATAATAGAATTGCTGTACTCCAAGAATATTCAAGTTACAAAGTTTAGAATCAATACTAGAAAATGGTTCAGGGAAGCTTTAGAGAAGAGGTGATTAGGAGTTGAGGGCTAGTTCATGCAGGTCAGCTGGTAAGTGTTGGTGATTGTGGGCTCAATTGTTACACAGGAAACAGGTTTGAGAGTCTCTAAGGTGGGAGTGATTTTAAATGTCAACACTTCTGTGTAGACTAGAGAGGAATTCGTCCTTAATGAAAAAAGATACTCTCTGAAAACTGACTATATCGTAGGGGTTATACTCTGGATTGGACACACCCTAATGTGAAAGTTTAGACATCACTGTCATTCGAGTCTCCCCCACCCCCTTTTTTTTAAATTAATTAACATAGGATGTGGTTTTCCTGTAAATAACCCCTCTTTTGTACTGGGACCCTAACTCAAATTGAGCAAAACCTTTTTTTTCTGGCATTGTACAGGCATTAAAAAAATCTATTTAAAAAAGTTAAAAAACCTGTTAACAGTAGAAAGCTGATGGACCCTGGTCCTGGCCCAGATCCATGAGATCAGGGTGGTTTTAACAGGCTTGGTCTGTTTTTGCTGTCCCTGACTTTTCTCTTTGTGCCTAGGAGTCTGTCATCTTTTTCCAGAGTTGCAGAATGGAGACTGAAGGATACTCGGAGACACAAAGAAATAGAGAAGTCCAGAATGGTCAAATAATGCCACCACCAAATGAGATGGTGGCTGAGGAGCTAGAAGACATGCTAATAACGGCTCCCCAGATCCAGTTTCCACGGGAGCCTTCTAGGCATCCACCAGAGAGCTTCGATGAAGACTGTATGGAAGATGTTGAGGCCATGCCACGAAGGAATCCTCCCAACCCTGCAGCTTCCAGGCAGAGGTTCAGAAAGTTCCGCTATGAGGATGCGGCTGGGCCCAGGGAGGTCCTCAGACATCTCCAGGAGCTCGCTGGACAGTGGCTGAGACCTGATATTCACACAAAGGAGCAGATTGTGGAAATGCTGGTGCAGGAGCAATTCCAGGCTGTCTTGCCCGAGGAGCTCAGAGCTTGGGCGCAGAGATGTCAGCCTGGGGTCAGAATCACTGGCTAAGTCTCACCGTTTGCTTCTACTTGTGAGACCTAACCAAAGGTTCTTTCTCGTTGCAAGATCCAATTGCAATCAGAAATCTGAACCTCGGGTTTTTTTTTTTTTTTTGAGTTTGCCTTTAACTAGTTGTAATAAGAATCAGAGCCCAGGACTGGACCTCTTTTTGCCTGAGGCAGCTCTGTTTTCTGGGACTGTGAACTCCAGAAGGAGTTTCTTTGCTTTCTTGTTGGGACAATCAGCCTGCTGCTTGTTTTGCTCTGCCGAATGCCTCTTTTTTTGCACTTTGTGACATGCTTTAATTTATTGTTTTTATGTATCCAAAGAAGTAACTCATTTGGGATGTCCTTGATATGTTAAAGTTTGGTCCTTAATAAAAATGTGCTGTGGTAATTTACCAGTTTAGCTCTTAGTGTCAGCATTTGAAAAGGTGAGATAATTATCAGGAGTAGATGTGAGCTATGACTGTGGCATTCATTGAGCTCGGAACTAGGAACAGGCCTGTCCTTTGTTTTCAAAGTCAATTTAAATTGGACAAAATGGGGTCATAAGAGGTAAGTAACTCTTACACAGAGCTGTTCAATTTGCTTTCTCCATTTCCGTCACCTTTGTTCTACAGCTTGTCTTCCTGCAAGAGAACTCGCTCTAATGCCGTCTGACGGTTCTCTTCTGCTCTTCCTGAAACAGGTCATCCTGGCTTTGTGGGTACAGAGACCTGTACTTTGGTTGACAGTTGAGACGAGCAGTATCTATGATTGTGAGAGAGTAAACAGCAGCTGCTTCCCCAGCATGACCCAGTCTGAAGAACCTTTCTGCCTCTGGCTGGGCTCTTGGATTTGCAGATCTGCTCTGGTAACAAACTTGGTGCCAATTTGCAACTAATCTTTTGGGTTAGGGGCTGATTAGCTCCATACTCCTGGGGTTTGTGTAGTACTTCCTGTGCCTTTAGGACTCTTCTAGATGCTAGAATACAAATAAAAAACCTAGTTTTAAGGGAATGTATAGTTTTCGAGGACAGAGGAAGGAGCCACCAAAATATATTATTAAAAACGTTAGAGTAAAACTAGTCTTTTTGGTATCCGGTTTTGAGACAGCACTAAGAAAACACATTTCCTAGTTTAAAAACATGTTAAAAGCAAAGAGGAAATAGCCAAGTTAGGGAAGTGACATTTTAATTGAACTTGAATGGGAAGGAGTTCACTGCACAGAAGGCACATCTTGGGCAAAAGCATGGGAACGTGAAAGTCTATATAATGTTTGGGGAATAGTGAATATACAGACAAAAAAACTGTGCCTCTTATCGTCTAGGTTTAGCTTTTCTATTCTTAGTTCTAGGAGTAATTGTAACATTGGCGTAGAAGTAAGTAACTCTGATACGGTCCTAGCACCTCCAGTACTTCAGAACATTCTGAAGATATTTCCTATGGTCTGCAGGGATCAGGAACTCCTGGTGTTAAGGGATTTCCTGGCCTCTACCAGTTTCTTACCTGTTTCAGTGGTGTAGAACTTTACATGCAAGTAAAAGACCAAAAAGTCTTCACCTTAGGGATTTTATGGCAGGATAGCTGAGATTTTTTAAAATTGAGTGAATGTAGCACAGGTATTTTTCAACCGTGGTACTGTGGGACCACATAGTTTTTTTTGTGGCCGTTTCTCCCATGCATTATAGGAGCTTTAGCAGCATCCCTAGCCTCTACTGACTAGATGCCAGTACACCCTTCTGGGTGTCACAACCAGAAATTTGTCCAGACATTGGCAAATGTCCTCTCAGGGCAAATTTGTGGTGGTCGAGAACCACTGATTTAGTAGTAGAGTTCATCACAGACATGCCACAGATGACCCTTAGGCAATGAACATGGCCACTCGTCTTGGAGCAAAAACTTGAGTCTAGTTTGGCCTTTTTCCATCATATTTGGAAATGTTAATTTTACAAGTGTCTCTTGAGAATCTCCTACGTGTAAAATGTTTCTTTTGCCTTTTTAAAAATCTTTATCTTACAATTTAAAATAACATTTCTTGGATTCATTTGATAGAGAAAAAGTATGAAAAAAACAAAAATGGTGCATAAACTTCCCAGGTAACTCCTATTGATTTTTAAAAAAGTTTTATTATTAGTTTCGAGTATTCTAAAAATATCTAACATTAGTTAGATATTTATGTAGTTTATAAAACAATCCCCCTAATTGCTCTTTCTCTCCTCTGGCTCTCCACTTAGCCATTACATTAATACTAACAGCATTCCCTATGCCATGATCCCTATCCCCGTGACCATCCATCAACTACTAATTTGTACTTCTTTAACCCTTCATCCCTTTCTCCCAGCTCCCCAACCTCTGTTCCCTCTGGTCCTCATCAGATTGTATATAATTGTGAATTTGTTTTCAATTAGTTTGTTCTTTTTGTTCTTTAGATTCCACATATAAGTGAAATCATATGGTATTTCCTATTGATATTTTTTAAGATAAAAGATGTATTTGTATGTGGATGGAAAAATTCAATGGTATAGAAGGATATAAGAAGAAAATGTAAAAGCTCTCTTCCCATTGACAGTTTATGTGCCTTCCAGAAAATATGAATTATACTTATGTAAGCAGATACATAAGCACACGTATGTGCACACATCCCTTTCTTATTTACACAAAATATGTTATGCATGTTTATTATATGTTTTTTCTTGCCCAATAAGCCTTAGAAGTCTTTTGCTAGCTATATAAAGAGACTTATTTTAAAAACATTTTTGTATCAGTTTCATAGTACTTTATATGTCTAATACCTAACCTTATACTTTACAGTAAAAAGTGCAAGGTAGAGTATTTAGGTATGGAGTCAAATCTCCAAAGCATAAGTGAGGTTTAGAGAGGTAAGTGACAGAGCCAGGACTGGTTCAATTTGCGATTGCCCAGTAATCTCCCAGCAACCCTGTGGTACCAGCTCCTTCCCATGGAAGTGAATTTACAGATGAGATCCCGCACCCCAAACAAACCCAGTAAGAGAGGCTGGAGTTCATCTCCATTTCATCTGACTCTAGCCCCATGCCCTTGTCACAAGGTCACACTGCCTGGATATCAAAGAGTAAACCAACTTCATTGTTTCAAGGGCTCTGGGCACTTGGGAGTACAGTAATTCCCTATCTCTATTGCCACTCCCTGAGATGATTCCTGTGCTTTCTCTACTCGGTTGGCACTACACAGTTACTGCTAGTGTCTCATTGTCATTTCTTGAGTCAGTATAGATCATGATTCTCAAGAACCCTGACACCTTTTAGTTCTGTGAGTGATGGGGAATGAGGAAAATGGAGGGACCAGAAGGAAGTATTTCTAAAACATCGCGTGTCTAATTTTCCCTTTGCGATTATTTTGGCTCCAAGTTTTACAAAAGAGTAATTTGATCTAGTTACTGAAAAATGCTCCTACCAGATGGCTGCCAGTGAAAATCAGTGTTGGGACCACAAGGTAATACGAGATTGCTAGCAACTGGCTGGTGCCATGGAAAAGTATGTCATTTGTTGGGCAGCTACTCCCTGAGCAGTGAGTGGGTGCCAGGCCCTGGCTGCTGGAGAGGAGGCCAACTCCAGGAGGGGTGGGGGCCGTGAGGAGTCCACTACAATGGTGGTGGCAGCTGGAGAATTAAAGTGTAACTGGCCTTCCTAAGAACATCATGTGTGGTCAACTTCCACAGGCAGCTCAGTACAGTGCACTAGACAATGACTTGACTATTTTGCTAAACATTTTCTACCCACTGCCATGCATTTATTGGATATTTTTCCTTGGCCTGGAATGCCCCTCCCCCAACCTGCCAGCCTACTCCTATTCATTCTTTATGACGCAGATAGGCATGGTCACCTTCCTGAAGCCTTCTTTGATGCCTGCCTTGATAGCATCTGAAGCCCTCCTGTGAGCTCCCATAGAACCTCAGCTTTAGTTCTCTCTCAGTTCCTGTTCATTCAGCAAATATAAATCGTGTACCCAATGTGCTATGCTCTGACATAAGTATCACACTGTAGGGCGTCTAGTTTGTGTTTCCAGGCAGATTGTGAGCTCTGAAGATAATCTCTATGTTCCTGGCCTCCAACATAGGGCCTACACATGCCTGGTGCTTAAGGAACAGTTTGATTTTTGTAGGAGACGTGGTTGCTCCCTCCTTTAAGGTGTTTTTCTTCTAGTGAACATAATTAGGGTTCATGGGAGACCATTAAGTATTACACTGGGGAGGGGGCAGGGGGTGAGATTATTCATTACTGTGTAAGGGCTGGGGATGGCAGAGTAAATAAAACCAAAGAAGAAAGAGAAGGCTTCATGTGGGTGGCTGGCTTCTCTCAGTTTCGCATCTAACCTTGTAATGAAGTAAGGTTAACAGCTCTGTGCTAGCTCTGCTTGAAAGCTCTAGGGCCCCCTTGGTGCCTAGCAACAACCTGACTGCCCAGAGTGGTGATTTTGAAGCTGGGTGTGTCTGTTAGGCAGGAAACCACCACCACCACCAAAGCAGCTAGGGCCTTCCCTTCACTTCCTCTGAGCCCAAACTTCTCCCACAATCGAGGCCGATACTTAGTGTTTTGGAACCCTTAGGAGCACAAATAGGATGTTTCTAGCAAAGATAACTTGAGCACTTAGGAGATGTGTGATCTCAGATAAGTCATGTCACTTCTCTTAGCTTCAGTTTCCATACTTGTCTTATTCCCAGCTAGGGTCACCCTAGCTCAGCACCAGAAACACAGGGACATTCAGTAAATGCTATTGTACCTGAATCTACTTGTTTAGGGGAAGACTCTCTTTCTCAGCTGTCCCTTTGGTCTTGTTCTGATCTCTTGAACAGCTCCATCTCATTCTTAATTTCTATACATAAAATCTTGTCTTATTGTCCTACTCTTCCCCATCCCTCTCTTTGTTGCTTATCTTATTCACAAGGCACACTTCTTAAAAAATCACAAGTGTTTTGTTTTTAGGCCAATTCTACTACTACAGTGACATTTAATTTTTTTAAATTTAAATATCCTGTAAAGTGCACAAATCTTAATTGAGCAAAGTGGGCATACCCCTATAACAATCTTCCAGATGAAGATACAGGTTTCTAGCACCCCAGAAGTCTCTCTCGTGCCCTTTCTTGGTCATTAACCCCCTGAAAGTAACTGCTATTATGATTTCTCTTGCCACAGTGTTGCCTGTTTCTGCACCAAATAGAATCATACAGTATATACCCTTTTGTGTCTGGCTTCCTGTCTTCAATATTATGTCTGTGAGATTCACCTATTCCCTGAGCATCCTGCTTTTCCATGCCTGTGTACCTGGACATGCTTATTTTTTCTACCAGGAAGTTTTCTGTTCTCCCAGCATGTCTCACCCTGGCCAGTCTGTGCAAGTCCTTTAGTCTCAGATGAAACCTCGCTCTTTTGGGAAACCTTCCTGGATCAGCTCTGGGTTTGAATTCCAGTTCCTTTACCTACAGCTGTATGACTTTGGGCAAGTGTTACTAACAACCTCTTCATGCCTCATTTTGGTTGAAGATCATAGTTTCTTTATTTCAGAGTTCTTGTGAATTTCAAATGAGATAATACATATTAAATACTTAGAACAATACCTTGAACATAGAAAGTACTTAATGAATGTTAGGCATAGCTATTGTGTATATGTGCTGCTGAAGTGAGCACAGGCATAGCTATTGTGAATACTTTGCTTTTCTTATTCACCTAGATCCTTGTATGTACTCTTGTCCTAGCAATTATTTTGATTATTGTTTGTCCCACTATTATACCTTGAGTAGTAGGGATTGTGTCATCATTCGTTGTATTTCTTCAACAGATATTTATTGAGATTTCACTATATTCTAGCACTTGATACAGTGGTGAAGGAGGCTCTTAAATTTATTTTTTAATGGGAGGAGACAGATAAGAAAAAGGTGAGATCATTTGGGATCTGTGAAGTACTATGAAGGAAATAAAGCAGTGTGGTGTGATAGTGGGTTGGGGTGCCACTTAACCTGAGTGAGGAAGAGGCCTTCTTGAAGAGGCAATATTTAAGACCTGCAGGGTGAAAAGGAGCAGGCATGTGTAGAGCGAGAGACAGAACAGCAAGGACAAGACTCTGAGGGGGCGCAGTAAGCTCAAATACGTCTTGAGAGAGAGAGGGCATCATGGATGGAGCCCACAGATTGAATGTATGGTCCAGAGGAGGTTGGAGGGATGGGCAAGAGCTAGGAGAAGCCATTGAAGGGGTTGAGCAGGGGGATATTGATCACCTTTGCATCTGAGGTACGCTCACTAACTTGAATATTGGTCACAGTTGCCCAGCATTGGTCCACATGAGCGATTTTCAGATAGTTTTCAAGTTAAAACTTTATTATCGTGCCATGTGCCTCTGAATTCTTACTGAACCCTGCTGGTTGGGGATGGAGTTACTTGGTTATTTCTAGACTTTTCTCTCCCCTATCTCATCTCATCCACCCTCTTCAATGACCCAGATTATCTCCACCAGAGATGTGTAACAGAGATGAAGGAAGCAAGCCTGGGCCAGTTGGAGAAAAGGCAAGTAGGAAACAGGTTTTGTCAGTTTCCTGGAATGGTCAAGGTTCCTGGGCAAGGGTACTGATGTGGCACAAAGGGGAGGAGGGAGACCGACTGGCAGGAGGGGCTGCAGAAGGGGTGGGGGTGGGTCAGAGCCAGGAGACCGCAGCTCTAGCTCCTTATGGCGTGGCAAGCCAAACCAGGAGCACATCTGGAGTCCTAGCAGCAGAGTGAAGCTGCTGATGAGGCATGGGCCACCATCAGCCAGAG